AAGTTTGCTCTTGAAAAATATTTACTTTGTGCTATTTATTCCCTCAATCAGGTGAAAAAAGAGAACTTCGGATTTTAATTGTTAACTCTCTTTGGTCCGGTTAAGCTCTCCTGGGATGCCGGATGTGAAAATGGGCAGAGACCGGTTCCACCAGGTGTAGGTGACCCATGGAGGCATCATGGACTCTGGGGACAGAACAATGTGTCTGCGATTCCTGTCTAAGTGCCATGACATCACAGTCCTGGTGTTTCTACTGGGAATGTCTGAATTCTTATCTCTTAAAACACCACCCTGCTGAATGAGAACAGAACCAAGTCAACATCACTGCCGTCCAGATTCATGACATCGCAAGGCTAGCCTTTATTTTTGAGGTGACCGAAGTTACTGGGCCCGTTTACCTAAAAAGCCAAGTTCTGGAAATGGCAAGTCTCTGCAACAGTCTGTAAGAAATCCTATGGAAAGTGACATAGAGCCTGGGCTGTCCGAGGAAGATTTGAGAGGAGTAGAGAGAGACCTGTGTCTGCCCTCTGCTGATCAGCCAGAGAAAGGAAACTGAGATCTGGGTAAAAGGCTTTGCTGACTCCTTGCCATGTTGCTAACTCGCGGGATCTCTCCAACTCTCAGAGCCCCAGCTTCCTCGCTTACCAAATGAGGGCTCGAAGGACAAGGACAACCAAAGTGACTGGCAAAGTACAAAATACGCATGCAAATAGGAGCGCTGGATCCCCCTGAGAAGGTGTCCTGACTTTTCCACCAGAAAGCATTCGAGCCCCGACCGCCCCCGGCCGGGCCACTGGGAAAAGGAGGAGAGAGGGAGAGGGGTGCTGTAGGTGAGATGACCTGTGCTTGCCAGCCTCCCGCTGAGCAGACCTACTGGAATCTGCAGGGAGTGAAGAGGAAGGCGGCAGGCTGCCTGAGGACGAGCTGGTGTGTGCGCAGGACTTATTAACCGAATGCTTCCGGGAACTCTCCCCTCTGGGTTGCAGATTATTAACCTGTTTAACCCTGTGGCAGAGATAAACACTGCTGGGGGTAGGCAGCGGGTGTCAGAGTCCTCTGCGTGTGAAAGGTCCCGCTGGCTGCAGCTTTTAACCACTTCTAATTATAAATAATGTTTAACCAAGTACTGGGCCATCTCCAGAGGGGATCCATCCTGGAAGACTAGTGAAGAAGCACCCTCCTCACACACTCCCCCACAGGGCTGCGTGGAGCAGAACAGCTGGGTTCATCAACAGAGCAACCAATGTGTTGCCTGACACATTTTTGCAGCGTTTATCACATAGGCTTAAACATCTCCAGACAATGCAGCACTGTTGCCACAAGCAGCCTGGAGAAACCCACTGGCTGATAAACCAACAGGTTTACACTCACACTTGTGAATTATCAACTGAAAACCTCCTTGATAAAACTGCCCCGGAAGAGGGAAGCGCCTCAAAGCAGGCCTGGGGCTGCTGTTGAGAGGGGAGAGTCAAGCTCCAAACACGGAGTCTGACTCCGCTCCGTAATTCTCCATGTGGGTTACTCTACTTCCCTAAGCCTCAGTTTCTTTCCCTGTAAAATGGTCATACAGCGGCATAAGTAAGACTTGTTCCAAACACAACATCACCCAGATAAAGCACCTGGCACACAGTGAGTTCCAGCAAATGCGTGGGGAGGGAGGAAAGGAAGCGGTGGGCACATTAATGAGCCTTGGCGGCGGCAAAGAGACAAGTGCATACTCTGCCAGAGAAGTTTAAAACTAACCCCTGTTAGTCTGCTGTCCACAGCCCCCACTACTCATCCCACCCTCCCACTCGCCAACACAAGGCCACCGCATAACTGGTACCTATTTCAAGATCCCAAAGCAATTCATCTAAGGTGAAAATTCCAACATAGTCAATAAAATTGTTTGAAAACTAAGGAATCTATAAGAATAATTGTAACAGAAGAAGAGAAAGACTTTTACTCTGAAAACTGCAAAATATTTAGCATGTAAATAAATGGGAAGACATCCCATGTTTCTAAGTTGGAAGATAATATTGTTAAGATGGCAATGCTCTCCAAACTGATCCGGATTCAACACAATCTCTATCAACATTGCAGCAGGCTCTTCAGAAATTGACAAGCTCATCTGAAAATCCATAGGGAAAGGCAAAGGATTCAAAACAGTCAAATGTCGGAAAAAAGGAACAAAATTGTAGAACTCCCACTTTTCAATTTCAAAACTTACCACAAAGCTATAATAATCCAGACAGTGTGATACTGACATAAGGAAGGACATATGGATGAATGGAACAGACTGAGAATCCAGAAATAAACCCATACATTTATAGTCAGCTTATTTCCAACCGGAGTTGAAAGATAATGGGGAAAGAATGGTCTTTTTATTGACATAGGTTGAGGTAACTGGATAGCCACATGCAAAAGAATAAAGATGTACATCATAACAGCAAACTCCTTATGCTCAGATTATACATAAAAACTAACGAAGAAATGGATCAGAGATCACCTAAAATGTAAGAGCTAAAACTATGAAACTCAGAAATTATGTGGGGGCCGGCACTGTGGTGCAGTGGGTAAAGTCTCCACCTGCAGTGCCGGCATCCCATATGGGCACCAGTTCAAGTCCTGGCTGCTAGACTTCCAATCCAGCTCTCTGCGATGGCCTGGGAAAGCAGCAGAGGATGGCCCAAGTCCTTGGGCCCCTGCACCTGCATGGGACCCATGGATCTGCAAGAAGCTCCTGGCTCCTGGCTTCAGTGCAGCACCGGCCATTGTGGCCATTTGGGGAGTGAACCAGTGGATGGAAGGCTTCTCTCTTTCTGTCTCTGCCTCTTTGTAACTGCCTTTCAATTAAATAAATAAATCTTTAAAAAAAATTATTTGCAAATCATATACCCAAGCTATATAAAGAACTCTTACAACCCAACAAATATAAAAAGACAAAAGATGATTTTGACCACAGTCCTCTGCAGTGCAGATATACAAATAAAGTACAAGCACAGGGAAGATGGTGCACGTCAATGTCCATCAGGGAAGCGCGAGTGTCAGCCACAGAGAGGCATCACTTCACACAGAACCGGACGGCGTCCATGAAGGCACCAGTAAGTGCTGGTGAGCAGGCAGAGAAACTGAAACCCCTGTACGTTGCTAGTGGGAATGCCGAAAACAGTTCGGCAGTTATACAAACAGGCGCAATTACATAAATACAGATTTATAGCTAGATAGTGTATGATTCCGCTTACATGAAACGTCCTAAATAGCACATCAGTAGATTAGTGGTTGCAGGGACCTGTAGGGAGAAAGGGAGGGGCCCTGGGGGTGACCGCTGATAAGCATGTGGTCTCTTTGGAAGATGATAAAAATGTAATGATAAAATGGTAATGGTTGTGCAACTCTGTGACTGCACTAATTACACACTTGGAAAGGATGGATTTTATGGCATGTGAATTATATCTCAATAAAACTATCATTCAAAACTGAAACAAAAAAATCAAGAGTTCTAGTGCCCCTACTGACTCCGAAGTGGCCACTTCGCATCCTCTTTTTGGCTCCCTTTGGGAGCTGCAGAAAGGCATCCACAGCCCTCCGCTCCATTCTGCCGTGTCTCCTCCCCATAGACCTACCTCAGAGCCCTGCCTCGCTCACCTAAATCCCCACCCACTATAGTCCCAGCAGCAGGATGAAAACCACCACCACATAGCCAGTATTTATTGGGAATCATGCAGCAGGTAATGTTGGAACTGCCACCACCATACAGGTGGGAGCCCATCAGAGCTCACTTGGGCAAGAGACCCGCAGCAGCTCAGCACATGCCCCTTACAACAGCATTCAAGGCCTGTCCGGTCAGCTCTCCTCTCCTTCCTGGGCCTCGGTTCCCCGACTCTCATCCTCACTTCACTCCAGCTATCATACTGGTAGAATTGCAGGATAAAAATGTAGGACATCCAGTTAAATTTTAATTTCAGGTAAGCAATGAGCAAAATTTTTAGTGGAAGGATGTCCCAAATAGTGTATAATTCATTGCTTACCTGAAATATAAGAAAAGTACTGGGGCTGGCACTGTGGTGTAGTGGGCAAAGCCGCCACCTGCAGTGCCAGCATCCCATACAGGTGCCAGTTCAAGTCCCGGCTGCTCCACTTCTGATCCAGCTCTCTTCTATGATCTGGGAAAGCAGTGGAAGATGGCCCAAGTCCCTGGCCCCCTGCACCAATGTGGGAGACCCAGAGGAAGCTCCAGGCTCCTGACTTCAGATAGTTGCAACTCCAGCCATTGCAGCCATATGGGGAGTGAACCAGAGGATGGAAGACCGACCTCCCTCCCTCCCTCTCTCTCTCTCTCTCTCTCTGCTTCTCTGTAACTCTGCCTTTCAAATAAACAAATCTTTAAAAAAGAAAAAGAAAAGCTCCTTCCATTGGCACTTCGATGCCCTTCCCCTTGGCATTCACCACCACCTGAGATGTAATCTGTTAGCCAGCCGTCTGCTTTCCTCTCAAGACACTGGAGATTCCTTGAGGGTGGGGCTGCTTTTATTCCCTGCTGTCTGCTGGGTGCTTGAACAGGGTCTGGCATCAAGTAGACAACAAGTTAATATTTACTGAGTACAGAAGTGCTGTGTATGAGTTATCTCAGCTATTCTTCCCAAGAGCCCTCTGAGACAAATACGGCCATCAACTTGTTTCCCAGGTGAGAGATCAGACACACAGTACAGCCAAAGTACACACCCAGAGATGAGGTACAGGAGCCCGAGGCCAAAGCCCACATTGTGACTTACCTCCCTACACCAGCTCAGTGTCCTAGGCCAAGAGGTAATCCAGAGCTAGAGTAGAAGTTTCTGCCTCTCTTCCATTTAGATCATTCTGGGTTAGATGAAGGCAGGAGCCACTTACACAGCTAAGTGTCTATATTGGCATCAAAACAATTTATCCTAGAATTTAATGATTTTGCCTACATAATGACTGCTCAATGCAACCATTTATGTTCCCACTAATAGAGAAGTCTGTGTGGTGTCTATACTCACTTTTATTTCTTCTTGAACATCAGGGTTGCGGAAATTTAAATCTGGTTGCTCTTTCAAAAACTGGTGAAAATAGCACTGGTTTCGCACTTCATCGAAGTGCCAACTGGAGTTTCCATAAACACTTAACTAGCAAACATAGAAAAAAGCACATCAGTTACCTAGAATTATTTAGCACTGCCCACAAAGGAGCTACCATTGTCCTCCCCGGCCCCCTGCGGGCAGAGTGTGCGGATCCTGAGTCCTCCTTCTGGGAGGAGTAACGCCCCACATGTGTGATTGTGATGTATTTGAACAGTAGAAGCTGCCCACAACCATCGGAACAGCAAACCAGTGCTCTCAAATTCAAGGCAAGACCAAGCTCAGAAACAGACATTATTAACATAGTTTTATTCCATCTTCTGTCCAAGCTTTTGACTCCTGTTTATGAAGAAAAACAAATGATGGTGGGGGGGAATTTGGGAGAAAGATACATTCCACTAGTCTTGGAGCTTAAACCCAGATCCACTGAATGTTTCAAGTGTATCCCCCAGAAAAGTTATCAGAATCCTTCACTTAAAAACTACTGGCGGCCGGTGCCGCGGCTCACTAGGCTAATCCTCCGCCTTGCGGCGCCGGCACACCGGGTTCTAGTCCCAGTCGGGGCGCCGGATTCTGTCCCGGTTGCCCCTCTTCCAGGCCAGCTCTCTGCTGAGGCCAGGGAGTGCAGTGGAGGATGGCCCAGGTGCTTGGGCCCTGCACCCCATGGGAGACCAGGAGAAGCACCTGGCTCCTGCCATCGGATCAGCGCGGTGCGCCGGCCGCGGTGGCCATTGGAGGGTGAACCAACGGCAAAGGAAGACCTTTCTCTCTGTCTCTCTCTCTCTCGGTCCACTCTGCCTGTCAAAACAAAACAAAACAAACAAACAAACAAAAAAACCTACTGGCTCTCAGGAATAAACAAATCTAGCAACTTGACGTGCTGCTACCCAGCAGAGCATGCCACTGGGGCTGAAATGTCCTCTTTAGAAATTCTCACTTCCACGGCTCCCAGACATGACTCTCTCAGGCTCCTACTTCTCTGGCTTCTCGCTCTGAGTCTCCTCTGCAGACTCTTACGAGTGAGAGTTACTGGGGCTCTGTCTTTCACACTAAAGGCAACATCTGGAATTTAAAAACTGGGGTGTTCTGCACAAATCTTAGTTGGAAGACCTAGTCATATTGGGACCACGTTTCCATGACAACCACTGGTGGAAGCTGAGTAGTAGCCACTGCTTTTCAAGGAAATATATCCTCGCCAGTTCACCACATGGCCCACCGGGGCATACTCCAGGATGTGCAGTAAATATGTGCAGTAAATATAACCAATCGGTATCCAGAATACAAAAAGACTCCAGAAAATAATTTCAAAGGGACAAACAATGTAAAAGAAAATCGAGGAAAGAAATCATAAACAGGTATTTCACAGACACGGAGGTTCCAGTGAGTAAGCACAAATAAATGTTCAACATCATTAGTAATTAGATAATTACTACATTTGTAATTAGATAAATCACCATTGGTAATTAGAGAAATGTAAAATTAAGACTTTAATGAGGTACCACCTTGAGTTCATTTGAATGGCAAAAATCACAGAATCTAGCAATATCAGAAATCAACGAGACTATGCATTTCTATACTGTTGGAGTGGATGGAAATGGGTACAAACACTTTGATAAATGAATTTGACATTATCTGTTACAGATGAGCATAACGTATCCTGAACAGTCATTTCACTCCTAGTTATTTACCTTCATGGGCCCCAAGATAAGCAGAAGAATGAACATGTTCATGTGATGTTGTTAATAACAGTAAAAAACGGAACAGCCCAAATGCCCACAAATGAAAAAGGAAAGTCAATCATGGAACATTTACACAATGAAATATCATACAACAATGAAAATGCATGAACCACAGCTACTGGAAACTACATGAATAAATCTTAAAAACAGTGAGTGGGAAAAAGCCAGTTCCAGAAGACTACATGTAGCATGAAAATGTTCATAAAATTAAAAACAGGGGAAACTAAAACACAATTCCTTAAAATTTATGCAACATACGTGACTTATAGGCAAAACAAAAGCCAAAGACTCGGAAAAATCCAAAATTCAAGGTGGTGACCGCCTCTAAGAGGAAGCACAGGAGGGCCAAGGGAGTGTGCACAGGTGGTACCAACAGTACTGGCAATGCTCCAGCTTTCACCTGGGGCAGGGGCGTGGGTATTGACTGATACCGCTATGTCATTATCTTTCAGATGAGATACACAATTAAACAGTTTTATTCAGGTATAACTTATCTGAAGTCTATAGTCTGACCAGTGTGACACATGCGCACCTGTGAAACCAGCACCACAACCAAGTAGTGAACATATCTGTCCTGTGGCCCTTCCCTTCCTCTCACCTGTCCCTACATCCATCCTATCACTTAACAACCATGAATCTGCCTCCTGTCACAATGGATTAGTCTGCATGTTCTAGAAAATCACCTAAGTGAGATCATAAAGTACAAATCCTTCTTCTGCCAGACTCCTTTTCCCATGCGTATTTGGAGGTTCACCCATGTTGTTACAGGCACCAAGAGTTCATTCCTTTCTGCAGCTGAGTAGCATTCCATCGTGTGGTTCCACCACCGGGTATTTATCACACATTACATATAGGTTTGTGTGTGTTTACTATTACCTTAGAAAACACAACCCAATGAGTTGATGGAAGGATGGAAAACTAGATGCCAGAAGAGGCAGCTGTTACTGTCTTATAGGCAAGAGATAATGTGAGGTATGGGTGGCAATTTTCAAAAGCAGACTAGCGAGTTGGACAAATTTCACCCAGTCTTTAACCTTTAAATTGCTACTTGTGCAACCTCTGTCTGCCAATCTGCAAAATAGGGATTAAAACCTAACTTGGGGGGCTGGTGCTGTGGTGCAGCAGGTTAAAGCCCTGGGCTGCAGTGCCGGCATCCTACACAGGAGCTGGTTCAAGTCCCAGCTGATCCACTTCCGATCCAGCTCCCTGCTAATGTGCCTGGGAAAACACCAGAGGATGGCCCAAGTCCCTGGGCCCCTGCATCTGTCTGGGAAACCCTGAAGAGGCTCCTGGCTCCTGGCTTCGGATCGGCTCAGCTCCAGCCATTGCAGCCATTTGGGGAGTGAACCGTGGATGGAAGATCTTTCTCTCTCTCTCTCTGAATCTACTTCTCTCTGTGACTCTTTCAAATAAATAAAATAAATCTTAAAAAAAAAAAAAAAAGTAAGACCTAACCTGGGAAGAGCAAAGTGAGGATTAATGAAGTAATAAACAATGCAGTGATTGCTGAGTAAGTATTTGCTATTATTATTATTATTATTAACAAGTGATTAGTTGGAGAAAAAAAAATAAAACCAGTAAAACTGCCAGGACTTGCTGCTGGCCTAGCCTCAGGCTCCCTGCTGGCCCCTTTCACTGAACTTGGAAGACAGGGGACTGGGGGAGAAGATCGTACAGTCAGCCTTGAAATGTGGTCTTTCCAAGTGTCTCTAAATCATCTAAAACGTGATGCCCGGGCCCAGCACGCTTAAATGTTTATGCAGAAGGCCAAGAAGAAAGGACCAGGGACTGGAGTGGGGAGAGAGAGTCCAAAGAAAAGGCTATAGAGAAAGCAAACCAGAACTGGTGGAAGATCGGGCCGGGTCAGAGGTGAGGTGCCAGAGAAATACAGGATGCCTAGTTAAATCTGAATGTCAGACACATAAATGCATAATTTCTTAGAATTATGATCTATGAGAGATTTTATATTAAAAAGTGTGTACCATTTAGCTGGCATTCAGATTTAACTGGGTATCCTGAATTTTTGTTTGCTAAGCCCAGTTACCCCAGCAAGAAGGACAAGGCCTCTGTTGTATAACATGCATGTAGGAAGAGGGAAGGAAAGGGAGCAGGCAGATTGACGGCTTCTGTTCTCTGTAGAGTGCAGTTTGCTGCTGAGTGTGGAAGGAGGGGAGGAGGAGGCAGGTACAGTGTTCAAAGAAATGGAGGGAGGGTGAGTTGTTCAGTGGGACTTAGTAACATTGTTAAGACTGAGTGAGTCACTTCTGGTGGGAACAATGAATGTGTGGCCTGTCCAGAGGTTCAGATACCAAGGTTTGATCAAAAAGAATGTAGATAATTGAGTTCATTTATGGTTCAGTGTTTGTTTGTTTTTGTTTGTTTGTTTTTTGGTTTTTTTTGACAGGCAGAGTGGACAGTGAGAGAGAGACAGAGAGACAGAGAGAAAGGTCTTCCTTTTTCCGTTGGTTCACCCCACAATGGCCACAGCAGCCGGGGCACTGCACTGATCCGAAGCCAGGAGTCAGGTGCTTCTCCTGGTCTCCCATGGGGTGCAGGGCCCAAGAACCTCGGCCATCCTCCACTACCTTCCCGGGCCACAGCAGAGAGCTGGACTGGAAGAGGAGCAACCAGGAGAGAATCTGGCGCCCCAACGAGGACTAGAACCTGGGGTGCCGGTGCCGCAGGTGGAGGATTAGCCTAGTGAGCCACGGCACTGGCCGGTTCAGGTTTTGATGGGATTGTCAGCAAGGCAGAGGGTTCAGAATAGTAGCAAAACATGGGACAGAGAACCAAACGTGGGCAGGACAGAAGTGAGGGAAGAAGAGGCCAGCAGACCACATAGGTGTTTTTTTTGTTGTTTGTTTGTTTTTTAATTTCTTTGAAAGGCAGAATTACAGAGAGGTAGGGGGTAGGGGCAGTTTCCATCTGCTGGTTCACTCTCCATATGGCTGTGGGGCCGGAGCTGGGCCAATCTGAAGTCAGGAGCCAGGAGCTTCCTCCAGGTCTCCCATGTGGGTGCAGGGGCCCAAGGAATTGGGCCATCTTCTACTGCTTTCCCAGGCCATAGCAGAGAGCTAGATTGGAAGTGGAGCAACCAGGACTTGAACCAGAGCCCATAGTGGGTGCCGGTACTGCAGGCAGAAGCTTTACCTGCTATGCCACAGTGCGAGCCCTGAGCACATAGGTTTTAATTTGTCATACAATGAAATCTGAAACCTAGATGTCATTTGGGAAACTTTTTCTGTTTCCTTGGGAAATATTTTTCCCTTCCCAGAAACCACAACCATTCATGATTTTCCGTAAAAGGGCTTTTTACAAATAACCAGTTTCAGCACTGCCGATCTCTCTACTTTCGCTCTGTAAATGAGGCAGGTTGGTACTTACCCAGTTGTTGGGTGGAGTGGTTATGCCATTTTCATGGGCACAGTCATGCCAGATATAATAATCAGTATACTTCCCTGTCCGTGTCCGACTCAATTGAAACCAAGCGTGTTTATCACTGGTGTGATTTGGTATGAAATCAATGATTAGTTTTAAACCTAATAAATAAAAAACATTGCAAATGACAGGAAAAGATGTTAGAATAACACAAGCAGTCAACGGGGAAATGCTTTAAGTATGCACTGGGAGTAGGAACTCTTTTCAATCTTTCACCTCGAACCCACCCATCTTCCATGTGGTTTACCTTTATCATGGATGGCTGCCAGCAGGTTCTCAAAATCTTCCATTGTTCCAAAAATAGGATCAATTTCTCGGAAATCTTCAACACCATATCTAAAATCTCTGAGGGATGATTTATAAAATGAAGTAATCCAAATGGTTTTTATATTTAAAGTTGTGATATAGTCCAGTTTATCTTGAATACCTGAAGAAAAATTCGAGGCTATAAATACATCCTACTTCATTTGCTTTTTTTAGTTGAGGGGTTGAAAACAAAGATCAGTGTTGTGGCACAGCAGGGGAAGCCACTGCTTGCCATGCCAGCATCCTGTAGCAGAGTGCCAGCTGGAGTCCCAGCTACTTGCTTCTGATCCAGCTCCATGGATCACACCTGGGAAAGCAGAAGATGGCCCAAGTGCTTGGGCCCCTGCCACCCATGCAGGAGACCAGGAAAGAGCTCCTGGCTCCTGGCTTTCACCTGACCCAACCCTGGCTATTAAGCCCTTTTGGGGAATGAGCCAGCAGATGAAACATATTCTCCCTCTTGGTATACGTGTGTGTGTGTGTATGTCTCTCTCTGTGTCTCTGTCACTCTTTCAAATAAATAATCTTTTTAAAAATCAAAATGTTTGTATAAAAGGCATATATACTTTGGATTTTATTGAACTTGAGTAAAATGCAAATAGCAAGGTCTAGTTCTACAAATGACATCAAGTAAGTTTTCTAGCAACAACCTTTGCCCTTCAACACAGTCATATGTTAAAAACATCTGCAGGGGGGTTGGCACTGTGGCATCCGGTTAACACCCCCGCTGGAAGCACCGTCATCCCATATGGGTACCAGTTCAAGACCCGGCTGCTCCACTCTGATCCAGCTTTCTGATAATGGCCCTGGAAAAGCAGTAGAAGATGGCCCAAGTCCTTGGACCCCTGCACCCACATGGGAGACCCTGAAGAAGCTCCTGGCTTTGGATTGGCTTAGCTCTAACCACTGCAGCCAATTGGGGAGTGAACCAGTGGATGGAAGATCTCTCTCTCTCTCTCTCTCTGCCTCTCCTCTCTCTGTGTAACTCTGACTTTCAAATAAATAAATAAATCTTTAAAAAAAAACCATCTGCAGCGATGGGTGTTTGGCCTAGCAGTTAAGACACTGGCTGAAATGCACACCTATCATGTCACAGTGCCTGGATCCAAGTCCCAGCTATGCTAATTCCAGCTTCCTGCTAATAGGCACATGGGAGGCAGCAGCTCAGTAGCTGAGTTCCTACCACTCATGTGGAAGACTTGAACTGTGTTCCCAGCTCCTAGCTTTGGCCTGGCCTACAGCTCTGGTTGGTGCAGGCATTTGGGGAATGAATCAGCAGATGGGAGCTCTCTCTGTTTATCTGTCTCTATCAAACAAATAGTTTTTTAAATTTATGGCTTTTTCATATTTTACATTGAAAACCAGGACCACATTATTATTAATGTATTCTATACATGGTTTTCGAGCACTTGATCTAGATCAGCTGTTAGGCTAAGTGCCAAAAATGAAAGACTTGCCCATGGCCCCTGAATGCTCACACGGTCTAAGCTGCGGGCTAACATCCTAGGGGCTACGAGACTGCCGCATGTGGTGAATGAGCACTTGCCATATGGCCAGTCTGTAAGGGTAAGACACACATCAGGCTCTGAGACCTAATACAGAAAGAAAGAACATAAACTATCTCATTTACATTTTGATATTGATTACATGTTAATACTATACCTGGAATATGTTGGATTAAAATACATTATTAAAATTAATTTCAGTTATGTACTTTTTGTTTTTAAAAATGTGGCTATTAGAAAGCTTACAATTCCATATGTGGCTCACATCACGTTTCCTTTGGACGAAGCTGGTCCAGGACGAGTGAATGGACAGGAGCGGGATGCTGACCAGACAAGGTTAACACTTTTGGAAGAGCTGCAAAAAGCCCTTTAAGGATGCCAAGAAGTTAGCCTCTGACCACCTGGAGCAGAGGGAGCTGAGAGCTGAGACAGAAAAAGTCACAGGAGGGTGTGGGCCAAGAGGGCCAAAGTGAAGGGTTTGCAGGCAAAGCAAAGGAAAGGAGTAGCCAGGCAGACAGGGCTTGTCTAAAAAAGGCGAAGAAATGCTGCTGGGAGTACAGCGAGGACACAGACGGTAAGTTTGTAGCAACACTTTCTCCCATTCCCAGACTGTCTGTAAACTAGCTGAATGTGGATCTTTTTTTCTTTTGCTGTCACACAGAGCAAGCCAGGAATTTGTACAGAAGAGAATTTGAGGCTCGCCTGACAGATTATGGAAGTCAAACTCTTTGTACTTGGGACCTTGTAGGATAATTAGCAAATACTGTGTGTTTTGCGTCCAGGTCAGAGCCCTAAATGCAGATTCAGAGACTTGCGTCTGCTATTCAAGCTCCAGGGACTTGCTGTGCATCCCAGCACGGCTTCCTGGGCCGCGGCCACTGAGAGCTAAGCACAAGTCCCCTGACACCTGGGATCCGGGCTGTTGTTTTTTCTCCCATGTTATTTGCACTTTACTCACTAAGAAACTCGTGGCCAGACTGCCTACAACAGCCTATTTTTACCTTCTTGGTGGTGCCCAGGAGGTTATGGAGCACCAACAGGCAAAAAAAAAAAGGTTGTGACGGAAGCCAGAACAGCGATGCACTGGATTTTAAGAACAGGCACAGAAGATGATAAAACAGCTGCCGCAGACCAGAGTAAACAGGGGTCCTGGCCCCACAATCTGGGGGCGGGGGATATAACCAAAAACAAACTGAAGCTGCCCTCATTTTCATAATAGCAACAAAATCCCCCTGAATCCTCAAAGACAGTTACCTGCTGATTACAGGAAGCAGCCAGCCCCTCAAGGACAAGTTAACAGGAGGGACACACAGACGAGGTGAAGAGAAACAGCCATCTTTGCTGGAATGTGGGGTCTCTCCTGATCTCCTGATCAGGAAGGCAGGGCCAAGCAGTGGGGAGTGTATCTCTGGATTTACAGATTTCGGCTTTATTCAGTCAAAGCCTCACTTTGCTAAGCACTGTCTGTGTCAAGGCAGCAGATGCTGGGGACCCCCGGCAGGGGGGAGGGAAACCACTGGGATGAGACAAGGCAGTTTCAGAGAGCACCATAAACACAGGCCAGCACACGGCAAGAATGCAGGGAGGAGAGTCCACGCTCTGACTGGGGAGATAAGAGACTAGTGAAGGCCATGTCTGAGCTGCACCCGACCCACAGTCAGACTATGCCCCAGTGAGTGAGGTGGAAACAACAGGAATGTGAAAGAGAATCAAGTCTGCTCCTAGTTCTGCAGGGAATTGGGAGGTTCCAAGAGTTCTCGCTTAACACTGTAAAGAGAGGCCAAGCCCATTCCTACTTCCACACCTAGACCATCTTGTTTCATTTTCTTCAATTATCAATGTAAAAAATCAGCTTGTTTATGTATTTGTTTCTTATTGTGGTCCATTATTAGGATGCTGCAGCAATCAATGTGCCCAGGACAGGCCCAGCTTTTGCCTACTGTCTGGCTATTTTACTCTTTTTAAAAAAAAAAAAAAAAAAGGCAGGGGCTGGTGCTGTGGTGTAGTGGGCTAAGCTTCTGCCTGCAGGGCAGGCATCCCGTATGGCCACCAGTTCTAGTCCCGGCTGCTCCTCTTCTGATCCAGCTCTCCGCTATGGCCTGGGAAAATGGTAGAAGGTGGCCCAAGTGCTTGGGCCCCTGCACCTGCGTGGGAGACCCGGAAGAAGCTGCAGGCTCCTGGGTCTGCTCTGGCTCATTATCAGCTCAGCTCTGGCCATTGTAACCACTTGGAGAGAGAATCAGCAGATGGAAGACCTTTCTCTCTGTCTGTCTCTCTCTGTAGCTCTACCTCTCAAATAAATAAATAAAATCTTTACAAAAAGAAAAAAGTAAGTCTCGCCAGAGCCGGGTGGGAAGGTGGGAGGAAGGCAGGCACGTACTCCTGCCCAGTCCTGGACTTTGTGAGCGTATGGGAAATGAACGAGAAGACTGGAGTTCTCTTTTTTTTTTTTTTTTAATTTTTAAGTATTCTTCTTTGAGCAATAAATTATAAAGATGGTCTACATATAACACCTAAGGAAATTATTAGCTTAACTTTTAAAAATATATTTTCACTTCTATTTTCCTACTAATACAGATATTAAGCATTCTTTAAAAAAAAAAAAAAAAAGATGTATTGGGGCTGGTGCTAGACACAGCGAGTTAAAACCCTGACCTACAGCACTGGCATCCCATATGGGTGCTGGTTCAAGTCCAGGCTGCAGAGTTAGAGTGGGAGAGGGAGAAAGAGACTGATCTTCCATTTGTTGGATCACTCTCCAAACAGCCACAACAACAAAGGCTTTGGCAAGCTGAAGCCAGCTTCTTCAAGGTCTCCCATGTGGGTGCCCAAGCACGTGGGCCATCTACTGCTGCTTTCCCTGGTGCATTCATTAACAGGGATCCAGATTGGAAGTGGACTCAGGACACAAACCAGCGCCCATGTGGGATGCCAGTGTTGCAGGTGGCAGCTTAACCCACTGTGCCACCATGCAGCCCCTTGTTTTAAACATTCTGAACTCATGTAGAGACCAATGCCCTGCTATGCCTTTTTTCTTCCCTTCATTTCTCGGGTTTTCTACTTTAAGACAGTCTACACCCTTTTAAAGACACTACTTGATTTTTTTCTACAATATTATTTACTCTTTACTCGTTAAGCAGCTCTTGGCCAGATAGCCAAACAAGCCACATCCTACACTACGACTGAGGAGTCCACAGTCGTCACTCTGATATTCAATCACAAAGCACACACGTGCAGGAGAGAGACGACAGGAACAAACCCGCTCTGCGTGAGAAGTCACAGCCGATGACCAAACAAGCGAATGGACGTGGTGGGCAATAAATTCAACAACTCCTCTGGCTCAGAGTCCTTCAGCAAATAGCTTTTCATCAAGTAAGAGAACTGTTGGATGCTGCTGAGTTGATGTTTATTTTAATACCATCAGCAAGGAGGAACTTGGCTGATCAGTCAGATTGGAATGTGCTTACCGCACAACCCAGGCACAGTCTGTTTTCAAGGAATGAGAAAACCATAAATCAACCTTCTCCCAGCTGCCTCCCTGAGCTATGTCCCACACCCACCTTTCAGGTCTCCATTCCCGTCCTTGTCGCTGTCCTTGAATGACCTCGGGTAGATCTGATACATGGGCCCTGCCTGCCACCAATCAAGGCACTTTGGAGAGATGGCGATGATGGCTATGGTGGCCCCAATGAGCACGAGCACAGAAACCACGACGAGCCAGAAGAGGATCTCCCGGGGCACGCGGTAGCGGGCCTGGCCCGAGAACTGGAACAGCACCTCCTTGGGCATCCCTGCGTAGGGCTGGATGTTCTTGGCGTTGGGCTCCTCTGGCCCAAGGATGTGCTCCGAGCTGCCTGGATCCAGGTCCAGCTCTGGGATGTCTTCATTTTGCACAAAGCCATTGTTTGTCTGGCATCCTTTCATATTCATCTTGATGGAGTCTCTCTTGCTTCCTTCCTCAGCCATGTCTCACCTGCTAGAGCCTCCTGTCTTCCTACAGTGAGGAAGGACAAGTGGCTTGCTGAGTGCTTTGTCCTGTTAATGAGCACTACAGGGGTTTATAAATAAACCTGGCTGGACAAAGTCCAGCCAATAAAGAAAGGGTAAAGGTAAAGCAGGTTTGTGCTTGTCAGGCTGACAGTTACCACCACCCACAGGGTTAGTCCCAGAGTAAGGCCAAGGCACAGAGGAGGAAGGGTTCCATTGCAATTTAAGGTGGTACTCAGATGAGTACACCTACGTCCACACTAGTCAAAAGATGAAAACAGGGGCCTGCACTATGGCATAGTAGGTTAAGCTGCCATCTGCAATGCCAGCATCCCATATGGGCACAGGTTCAAATCCTGTCTGCTTCACTTCCTATCAAGCTCCCTGCTAATGTGCCTTGGAAAGCAGTAGAATATGGCCCAAGTGCTTGGGCCCCTGCACCCATGTGGAAGACCTGGATGAAGCTCCTGGCTCCTGACTTTGGCCTGGCCCATCCCTGGCTATTGCTGCCATTTGGGAAGTGAAGCAGCAGGTAGAAGATCTCAATCTCTTCTCTCTCTCTAACACTTTCAAATAAATAAATAAATCTTTAAAAAAAAAAAAGGTAAAAATAAGGTGAAAACAATCCAAATGTCCAACATGAATTGGTGGACAAATAAAATATGGAGTATACAAACAGTGAAATAATATTTGGCCTTAAAAAGGAATGAAATTCTTGGGACCAGTGCTGTGGCATAGCGGGTAAAGCCACCGCCTGCAGGGCCAGCATCCCATATGGGCGCCAGTTCGAGGCCCACCTGCTCTACTTTCGATCCAGATCTCTGGTAAGGCCTGGGAAAGCAGAAGATAGTCCAAGTCCTTGAGCCCCTGCACCCACATGGGAGACCTGGAAGAGGCTGCTGACTCCTGGCTTCAGATTGGCACAGCTCCAGCTGCTGTGGCCATCTGGGGGAAGACTTCTCCCTCTCTGCCTCTTTGTAACTCTGCCTTTCAAATAAATAAATCAATCTTAAATAAATACAAAGAATGAAATTCTCTAAAAAAAAAAAAAAAAAAGATTGATTTATTTATTTGAAAGGCAGAGTAAAAGAGAAGGAGAGAGAGCGAGAGCGAGAGAGACCTTTCATCCACATTTTTCACTCCCCAAATGACTGCCAATAGCCAGGCCTGGGCCAAGCCAAAACCAGGAGCCAGGAGCTCCTTCCCAGTCTCATGCCTCAAGAACTTGGGCCATCTTCTGCTGCCTTCAAAAAGTGGCATTAGCAGGGAGCCAGACTGGAAGCAGTTGTAATTAGGACTCAAAACAGTATTGTTTGTCGTTCTGGTGGCTTAACCTGCTGAACCACAACACTGGCCCAAGAATGAAATTCTGATGCCACAACATAGATAATCCTTGAGGATGTGATGCTAAGGGAAATAAACCACCAAAATGACAAACATTGCATGATTCCACTTAAAAAAGTACCAAGAATGGTCAAATTCATGGAGACAAACAGTAGAAAGGTAGAGACCTGAGTTGAGGGAAAGGGATAGCAAGGAGTTACTGAGGCCTAGCTCCTCTGCTTCTGATCCAGCTCCCTACTATTGCACCTGAGAAGCAGAGGACGATGGCTATAATGTTTGGTTCTGGCCACCCACTCGGGAGACCTGGATGCAGTTCCTGGTTCCTGGCTTTTTCCTGGCCTGTGTAGATGGGTACAGAATTTCAGTTTGAGATGATGAAAGAATTCTGGAGATGGATAGGAAGCAATGGTTGCACAACACTGTAAATGTACATAATGCCACTGAACTGTAAACTCAAAAATGGCATAGCTGGTTAAGCTGCTGCCTGGGATACCAGCATCCCATCTGGGCGCCAATTTGAGTCCCAGCCACTCTATTTTCTGATACAGCTCCCTGCTGATGGCCGGGGAAAGCAGCAGAGGATGGTCCAAGTGCTTCGGTGCCTATACCCATGTGGGAGACCCAGATGAAGCTCTTGGCTTCGTCTAGCCCAGCCCTGGCCTTTCCGGCCATTTGGGGAATAACTAGTGGATGGAGGATCCCACCTTCTATCTTTGAAATAAGTACAATATATCCTTTTTTTAAAAAAAAAAAAAAAAGGTAATAGTGCTGGGGGCTGGATGTTTGGCCCAGGAGTAAAGAAGCCATGTGGGATCCCTGCACCCCATATCGGAGTGCCTAGGTTCTAGTTCCAGTTTCTTGCTAATGTTTATCATAAGAGGCAACAGGTGATGGCTCATATATTTGGATCCCTGACACCCACCTGGGAGACCAGGACTGAATTCCAGGCTCCTGGCTTCGGTGTGGCCCAGTCCCAGCTGTTGTAGGCATTTGGAGCGTGAACCAGAGGATGGGAGCTCTCTGCCTCTGTCTCTATTGTCTCTGCTTTCAAAAATAAAAATTGTTTTAAAAAGATAGCAGTGCTGAGAAAGACCAATATAAATTACATCCTTCTGGAAAGTAATTTGGCAACGTGTATCATAAGTGTTAACATGTTTCATGGTAATATAGTGAGGTTAGCCCTACCATATTTTAAAACAAAAACTCTCAAAAAGAGTTGATACTAAAGATGATAGGTCAAAACGACCAATTAAATATAATGAAGTAACAAAAATAGACTCCAATATAAGGGAATATATGAGGGTTTAAAACATGGAAAAACAACATTTCAAATCAGAGAGAAAGATTTAGTTGACAGACAAAACTATACAGCTTACCTCATTCCTTATACCAAAATAAGTTCTATTTAAGTCAGAGTTAAAAGTATAAAATAAAACTAAAAATAACAGAAGTTTGTATACTTTGAAAAGACAATTGTGAGCAAAAGAAAAAATACCAAAAAGATGCAAAAAAAAGAAACAATCATCCTGGAAAGTTTTCCTAAATATAACAAAAAATATAAAACCCAGACCTCATGAAGGAAAAGATCAATAAATTTTAGTCCAAAAACTAACAAACAGATATACTGACAAAGATAAAAGGCAAATAAACAAATTAAAGGGAAATTTTTATAACATATATGACAAGGTAATTTATTTTTAAAAAATTTCTTTTTTTAAAAAAATATTTATTATTTATTTGAAAGGCAGATACAGAGACAGAGGGTGAGAGAGAGCAGGTTAAGCCTCCACCTACAAAACAATTACTCCATATGGGCATCAATTCGATTCTTGGCAGATTCACTTTGGATCCAGGTCCCTGCTAATGTGCCTGGGAAACCAGCATAAGATGGCCTGAGTGTTTGGGCCCCTGCATCCACATGGGAGACTGAAAAAAGCTCCTGGCTCCTGGCTTTAGTCTGGCCCAGTCCTAGCCATTGTGGTCATTTGGGGGAGTGAACCAGCATATGGAAGATATTTTTCTTTCTCTCTCTGTAAATATGCCTTTCAAATAAATAAATTAATTAAAAAAAAAGAACAAGAAGCAATGACTATAAACAGCTGACAGAAAAAAGAAGACAAGTGTTTAATAAAAATAAAATGCAAATTTCACTAAAAATTGTAGATAGAAATCAAAAAATCAAAGGTTATGCAAAAATAAGTTTTATAATATTCAGCATCAAAGTCATATAAAGGAAGAATACTATCACACATACCATGGCAGGAGTGTTCACTAGCACAACCTTTGCACTGAATAATTGGGAGTATATATAGTAGAAAATTATAAATTGCATAGCCTTTGACCCAGAAATTTCACTGATAAAAATTTATCTTGGGGATGTACTCAGCAAGATAAACAAGGGTACTTCCAAAAGTTTCTGGAAAAACAGAATTGAAAGGTAAGTTTATTTTGGTACCAAAAAAATTTTGAAATCTGAGTGTTTCCAAGGTGGCAGAATAGGGAGGGAGCTTATTGCTCTAGTCTAGATGAAGATAGTTTAAAAAAGTGGAGAGAGTGCAATCTCAGGGAAAAGTTAGGGAGAAGAACTCCAGAGGATACTCCATGCAAATCAGAGGGACACTGTGGCCCTACGTGGAAGGTGTGGCCATGCGCAGCTCAGGACCCCGGCAGCTGAGAGCCTCAGCACCAGCTTTGGAGTGAGGCGAGACCAGACTGCAACAGCCTAAGCTACTGGCAATAAAGCTGCGGGAAGAGCCTGGTGTGAGTCTGGCTCAGAGCCCTGTCGGGGAGGGTGTACCTGCCAACCGAGAGGGGGAAAAATGGGGCAAGTTTCTCTCTCCCTGACCACCCAGCACCAGCACTCTGTGACTAGCTGAGAGATGGCAGGCACCATTTTGGACATACATAGCAGCTGTGCCAGCTTGTGTCCATGCACCCAGCAAGCAGCCGAGAGGAGACGCCTGAGTCTGACTGGGATAACTGATGGGGGCTGGCTGCTCGTGAGTGTGGGAGGCTTGAGTGCTGGGACTATGAAAACACTGTGGCTGCATGGGAGGGTGCAGCGTGTGGCCAGGACTTTGGGCGGTCACTGTGGGTGGCTCCACACACATAGGGCTCTCCCTGATTCCTGGTGAGGGTCACTGCTGTGGGATCTGTGCTCGTACCAAGGACTGCATGGATCCTTTATGTGGTTCTTATGGCAGAGCAGATGAATACTGTACCCATTGGCCGGCACCACGGCTCACTAGGCTAATCCTCCACCTTGCGGTGCCGGCACACCAGGTTCTAGTCCCGGTCCGGGTGCCAGATTCTGTCTCGGTTGCCCTTCTTCCAGGCCAGCTCTCTGCTATGGCCTGGGAGTGCAGTGGAGGATGGCCCAAGACGTTGGGCCCTGCACCCACATGGGAGACCAGGAGAAGCACCTGGCTCCTACCTTTGGATCAGTGCGATGCACCAGCCATAGCGCGCCAGCCATGGCAGCCATTGGAGGGTGAACCAACGGCAAAAAGGAAGACCTTTCTCTCTGTCTCTCTCTCTCACTGTCCACTCTGTCAAAAAAAAAAAAAAAAAAAAAACTGTACCCATTGGGGCTAGTGCTCAGGCATTGGTCTCATTTGAGGAGAGGGGGTGAGCATGAGACTACTCCCAACAGAGTAGAACAAAT